TGCACTTCACTCGCCTGGACAGCGGCAATGCTGACATACAGGTCTCCTTCGCCAGGGAAAACCATGGAGACGGGTTAGTATAGCACACTCAAGTTAGAATTCCCCTTAATGTAAATGTCAGACGTCTACTTCAATGGAAACGCAAACCTTTAGTGCCTTTTCACACGTTCCGGTTGCCGGCTATCCGGCGCCGGGTACCCGGTCGTGAATGTATGGGCATGCCGGATTAATTACGCCGGAACATGTGAAAGCTACGTACCATGCCCATACACTTCACCACCGGGTACCCGGCGCCGGATAGCCGGCAACCGGAACGTGTGAAAAGGCACTTACGCTTGGTTTCACCGCCTAGCGGTTTCGCACATCAATCCGAACTCGTCAAAATATTAATCTAGAAAAAAATACAGTTTACTTCCACCAGAGAGAAAGGCTGATATACCTAGCACAATAATTTGTACAACCCGATCGAGCTAACTGTGCACCTCACTGAGATGATTCTCCTTTCCACTTACTCACACCACCAGCGTTGCCAGACGTCCCGATTTTGGCGGGACGTCCCGATTTTTAAACCAAATTTAAATGTCCCGCGCGGGACAGGCTTTGTCCTGCTTTTCGGAGAGAGACACTCACTTCGCCAGACTATTGTTTTAAACGCCATATTATTCTAAAGAATAAAAAAAAATCGATTTTTGTTTCTTTTTTATTCTTAAGACGAATTTAACGATAGAGTAAATCTGATTTAATTTTTTTTTTTAAGTCAAATAAAAAGATAAATATTTGAAAACCTTTGATTGTATACGTTTTTTACTATGTCCCGCTTCTGACGGAAGAATCCTGCTATTTTCACTCAAAAAGTACCAAAGTCCCGACTTGGCGAAAAAAAAAAACTGGCAACGCTGCACACCACACACCTCCCCACGTTCGCTCCGTCCGTACCATGCGTCGATGTTACGTCACGGCAGCCAGGTACGCAGTTAACTCGACCTTGTTGTACAAATTAACCACTTCATTTATTATTCTATAACAACTTGATATTCACATACACTCTCTGTAATGTAGGTTTCCTTTTGACGGGCCAGGTCACGTGGTGGCTCACGCGTTCCAGCCCCCGCACGGCGCCATGCATTTTGACGATGACGAGCTCTGGGGCGAGAACCTGGACGATGACGAAGAAGACGTCACAGACTTCTTTGCGGTCGCGGTCCATGAGATCGGCCACGCGTTAGGACTGTCGCACTCGGACGTGAAAGCGTCCGTCATGTACCCGTACTACCAGGTGCCGGTGGAGAAGCTGCACCTGGACGATATCTTGGGCATGCAGGAACTGTATCGTGAGTATATTTGTAAAGTGGTCATTGGATATGATTTTTTCGTATTAAATATGTCGCAGTCGGTTATGAGTATGGAGTACGGACAATACTGAAACGCCAGCGCGCCACCTAGCAGCAAATCCGTGCAACAACGTTTTGGTCTTGCGCATCTTGCGTTTCAGTTTAGTGTCCGTACTCATGACCGACTGCGACAATGGCAATATGCTCTTTAGTGCACTTCGTACCTACAGTTGATTGTGAAAGCCTTAACGCAAACTAGAGCTTTATAAATACGTTTCTAGTTTATGCCTTAACTATCATTTTCCAGAAAAAGACGAGTTATCCGAAGAAGATGTCCCAGAAAGTACAGAGAGCCCCGTGGGTTACTCGTCGCTCGTGCCACGGTTCACTAAGGCGGATAGGCCTGAAAGTGAGGAAGAGAACGAGATTCCAGACCTGTGCTACACAAACTACAACACCATTCAAGCCATACAGGGGAAGATATTCGTATTCGAAGAGGAGGTTCGTAGGAATTTATGTGGTTTGATTTTGAGATCTACTGCACAAGCTTCGTCGCCGAATGAGGGTTTGCGCTTACCAGTTGGCGCCATTAGCGAGTAAGATCCTGTCACTCGCAGCCAGTGGCGCCAACTGGTTGAATAAACAGATAAAATATTATCCGACTCATTGTTTGTTTCCATAGTGGATGTGGGTGATTCGCGACAGGGTGATCGAGGATGGGTACCCGAGAAGATTCCATGAAGTGTTCGTTGGGCTGCCAAAACACGTAACTTCCATCAAAGCTATCTACGAAAGGCAAAACGGAAACATTGTCGTGTTTTTTGGTGAGTAAAAAAAATACTTTTCGTACCGACCTAAATAGCACACTATTTGACTATCGACCTTTTTTGCTGTTAATAGAACAAGAAACAAAGTAGCCTTCTTTTTCCTTTCAGTTCTGGGTCATTGTCTCAACATTTGTCCTGTGTTCACTTTTGGTACATTATCCCAACTAATATTATAAATGCGAAAGTAACTCTGTCTGTCTGTCTGTTACGCTTTCCCGCTTAAACCTCGCAACCGATTTTGATGAAATTTGGCATAGAGATAGTTTGAGTCCCGGGAAAGAACATAGGATAGTTTTTATCCCGGTTTTTGAAACAGGGACGCGCGCGATAATGTTTTTCTGTGACAGACAAAAATCCACGCGGGCGAAGCCGCGGGCGGAAAGCTAGTTGATCATAAAACTACCTGTTGTTTTTATTAATTATTGTTATCTTAATAACTCTTTTGTATTCTGCAGAAAGAAAATACTGGGAGTTCAGCCGATCCTTCCGCCTCATAAAAGTGGGCCGACTGACAGACTACTCGATCCCACAATACGTACCGGAGCTCACCACTGTGTTCCTCTCCAACTACAACAACAAGACCTATCTGATCGAGTACGAGCGCTTCTGGAGATACGATGAAGCGACGCGCACGATGGACAAGGGATATCCTAAGGAGATGTCGGCGTGGAGGAAGGTGCCTTATCCTGTGGATGCTGCTCTTATTTGGAAAGGAGGTAAGACACATCATTGCATTTGATTATAATTAACATTCAACGTTTAAAATATGACCACTTATTATAAAATTATGTAAATTGGTCCTTTGAGCCGGATACATCGAGTTCTTCACACGTACGTAATTTAAAATGGCTCAGTGCTTTCTTTTATTTTTTTTCTTGCTCCAGTTGGTTACTATACTACTCAACATTTTGCCCCAACCAGTTTATCTTCCATCTTTCTTACGTGTTGTCTACTGTTAATGTCTACGATAATTCACCACTCTTTTGGTTGATGTACTAACAAGTCTTGTCACCTCCCCAGAAACGTTCTTCTTCCGCGGGCCTCGCTTCTGGCGCTTCGACAACGAGCTGGTAGAGGCACACCGCTACTACCCGATGCCGACGGCGCCGCTGTGGCTGCCGTGCGCGCCCGCTCCCGGCATCGAGCAGTATTTTAGCAACGAGGAGCCTTAACCACGCGCGGGAAATGAGAGCTGTCGTATTTGCGCTCACTAGATAGATACAATTTTACTAGATAAAACTGCTAAATAAATTAGAAACGGTATAGTTTAATTGATTAGTTGCTACTTGTACTACTGCTGCCGCTGGGGCCCTCATCCAGCAGTACTTCGCCAACGAGGAGCCCTAACTACGTGCATAGTGAAATGAGGGCTACCACATTTAATTTTGCTCTTACTAGATGGACACTACATAAAACTGCCAAATAAAAGTTAGAAACGGCATTTAGTTAGTTACACTGGTCAGTAGTTGGCACGCGCTTGAGCTTAAACGTTAGCCCTTCTTGTAGTTAATTTGGACTCTGCCAACCAGTCATTTTTTTAGCCAATGCTTGAATCAGATACCAATGCGTATTCACCTTATAGTTAAATTTAAGTAACGCTTCGCAGATAAGACTTAGCAAGACCTCGAGAAAACAGGACAAGTTTAGCTAGTTTCAAAAGATGTTGTAAAGAAACGTACCTTGTACCTATCTTAAGTCTTTCTAAATAAAACAAACATGTCAAATTCATTAAAAATATATCACTTTATTTAAATTCAAAACATAAATAACCGTAAGTGGAGTGGAATCCTATCCAGGTGAAGTGCTCTCGGAATGTCTATCATGTTAAATATCTCCAAGATCATAGTTTCTTGTAACAATATCAATAAATAATACTGTACTCAAATATAGAGTATAACAATAAGTTTGTTCATAATTAGTAATCAATTTTTGAGACAACGATTCATAATCTATTTTTGCTTTACAGATTGAATTTTAAACTATAAAAATTACCGATAAAACAAGGCAAGAAACAATTTGAGTCGAGAAAGCACCAAAGTTGGTCAACTATACAATACAATAATATCTCGCCAGTCGAAACTAGTCTCTCGTGTCTGTACAATAGGGTTCACTTTAATAGTATACATCATATAGCCGGTGCAAACTGGTGCGTACCGGTTTGTGTTTAAGTAACAGTATTTGTTAGTTTAACGATCTACTTGTGAGTTCTGTACACGCTTGCATTTCCAATATAAAGCATTAAACAATATCACATCTACGTTAATAATTCGGAGCCGACCTAATGACAGAACAGATCAAACGGGTCACTGACCCGAACTGCAAACGCAGATCAAATTCAAAGAGTTATTGACCCAAACTGCGAGGGCAGATCAGTGGGCTTACCATGAGTTTACATTGGGTGTAATCGCTAGCGACTGCGTATAAAAAATTACATTAAATGACAAATTGTACGGCGCCCCTAGCGGTTAATTTAAATAATTATCATCTTCATGATTTTTGACGCACTCACTAGCGATGACGTAAGATCATAGCAGACTTCTCAACTGGAAAAGGGATCAAAACCGTATCGCCTTTCGCGCGCTATCAACCGCGAAGCGTTTACGTTACGGTGCGGATGTGCGTTGCAGTAACGAGTTTCATACAAAGAATTTAGGAGCGCGTGATTTCATATAAAAATTCCCGCGGGCAGACGCGTTGTCAGTGTGAAGTGCCGCGCGTGTTTTCTATAAAAACTGAGGTACTTGCATACAATGATTAAATCTGTCGCCCGCGTACCGCGGCGGAGCGCGGCGCAGAGTGATAACCGTCTTACGGTTCCTTTCCGGGTTGATAGTGTGTTACGTCTTTTAATATAAACTCATGGTAAAGTTACTGATATAAAGGTCGTTGAACCGGAGTGCAAGCATGCAAGTGTGGTGCGTGAGTGCGTGTTTAACTGCAGCAAGAGGCAGGGTTGGGGTCGCGGCCCGAGCGCTTGGTGATGTTGAGACGAGTGAACTCTTCAGCCACAGTCGGGTGGATGCCTACAGTGTTCATCAGCAACTCCATCGTCAGACCGCATCTGGAAATTTCCATGGTGGGTTTTAGTTTTAAGAGCATACAAAAGTTTAAAAATATTAACGTCTAGCTACTATAGTCTGGTCCGTGAGCACGTAGAATTTTGTCCAATGACCCCTAGCTACCCATCCTTATCGTTCGCGCGTAATTATGTTGCTGTCGCGCTCGCACATTCACTGCGGGCGCCCGTCGCACAGTCGCGACAGCAATATAATTACGCGCGAGCGATAAGGATGGGTAGCTTGGGGTCATTGGACAAAATTCTACGTGCTCACATACCAGACTATAGCTACTACTAACTACGAGTGCTAACTACGTTGGTTTTTTAATTTGGAAAAAAAAAAGAAACCAAAATACTTGTCTCTTGATCAGCACTTGTCTGTAGTTCAGTGAGGCGACCTAGTGTTTAAAATTGCCTCAAAATTATAGCATAAATAACTGCCAAAAACTTAGTAAAAAGTGTGCCAAAAACTGTGTAACAGAACGAAAGATTGTGATGGTGCCACGATAAAAGCAATATCCTCATTGTAATTCGTAAATGAGAATAAAAAACGTTGTTAAAGGTGTAGCTAGAACAACATGACGTGTAATAAAACATAAAAAAAAACAAATGAGCAGTGGCGTAACTATTACATAGTGGCAGGGCTGGCAATGACATGGGCCCCCGAGCTTAGGGGGCCTTGGGCCCAAGAACAAAACATTTTTTTTACAAAATTTGTTTTAATGATCTCAATGAATTTTCACCACGGGCCTGGGATGGTATAGTTACGCCACTGCAAATGAGCAAATATGTAGTTATTCAAATGAAATAAATCAAAGATGAAAGCCGAACATAACACAAAAAACGCAAACCAATTTTATAAAACTGCAATAAAAACTCGAATGGTGTAGAATTTAATTTGCGATTACCTATAAATGGCTAAGCAGATACATAATTTTAGGTCTCATTATTTGTATTTGTATTGCTGTTGGTTTTCCTAATAAAATAAATAAATTAAATCTAAAGCTCATAAGTGACTCACTTCACAGCGGCCGCGAAGCCCTGGATGACTTCTCCAGCGACCGGGCCCACGAAGTGGAGGCCTAATACCCGCTGCGGCGCCTCGCGCAGCGCCACGGCCTTGATGTAGCAGTTCTTGATGTTGCGCTGTGGGATGAAGAACTCCGTCGGCTTGTAGAACGCGTGGTACACCTCCACGTTGTCCTGCCCGAACCTGGAGTGAAATTGCCGAATTAAATAATGTCGAAGTCAAAATTTCTTTCTTTGCATAGACTATTACAGGGTTTCCCAATTTTTTTTTGCCAAGGAACACTAATTGATTATACTTTTCCTAGCGGAACCCCCGTACTACTCCGCCCGCACGCCCTGCCTCTCCCTTGTGCGTAAACAAGTCGGTGCGAGCGAACAACGTCGGTCACGAAACGTGGGATAATATTTTTTACGGAACCCTTGCGGCCTTTCCACGGAACCCCAGGGTTCCGCGGACCACCATTCGGGAACCGCTGGACTATTATATTGTAGTGCTTACAAATCTTCAAATATTTTGCTCTTAAGGAGCCTCTACATGTCTCATAATCTTTTTACCCTACCAGCGCTTCGAGACCAACATTTGGCAAGTGCTGAGAAGAAGCGCCGCAACAAACTCAGTCACCACTGTCCGCCGGTTAATGTTGTACAGTCAGCGTCAAATAGTTTATTTACACCTAAAGTAGCCAAAAATTGAGAATGTTACTAGGTATGCAAAATCACTTGAAACCTATGTTACAGTTAAGCTTTTACATTTACAAATACATTAGTTTTTATTTCATTCAAAAATACCCAGTAGTTATGATTTTATAGGCATTCAAAGTTCGCTTAAATATTGAGTCCCGCCGACGGTCACGTGACCCCGTGTGACGTACATTCACAGCGTCCGCTCACTAGAAAACGGATATAAACATACTTAAATATTTTTTTTTTGTAAATACAAACTTATTATACATATTAACACCCAGACCCATCACAGAAATTAAAATTGAACCAAACCCAAACTTGATGCGATTGTGTCGTTTTATTGCGAATTACCTTCTAGCTCCATCATTAGACCCCGATTACTATATAGAATTAAAATACTCATCAATACAAAACGAACGAGCCCAAACTCGATGCATTTAAGTCGTTTTATTATAGAGTTCCTATGGCTACCTTCCAGCTCCATCATCAGATCAGCTCAATGTCATCATAATATTGCATGGTCATCCAAATCACATGTGTTTGCGAAATTTCAGCTTAATCGGTTGCCTGGAAGTGGGTCTTAATTCAGTTTGCAAGATTCCACCCATACAAATATGAGCCAGTCGTTGTAATATGACGTCACGCGAATAAAATGGCGGGCCGGCCGCCGCCCGCACTTTTAAAATTCAATATCTTGGAAACTAATTGACGTATCGAAATAATTCTTTCACGTGTATTTTTTATTTTTAACAGAGAATACAGAAAGCTAAAAAACAAAATTAGTGAACATTCTTCATTCGCAACACGTTTTTGTTGAAATTTGATTGTGTTGTCAACTTCTTGACCACTTTGGGTGTCACGATCTATTTGATGCTGGCTGTACACAAAGAGGTCCGTTAAAAATATACAGCGACATCTAGTTTCAAACTAACTAAAACTTGCATTAAGGATACAGACCAGATAGCGGAAGTAAGCTTGGTGAAAGTTTGGCATTTTGGGAAATTGGAGTCTCTACCATAAATGCACGAGAGAAGGTGGTTACATAAAAATCTATATTGGATTATAGTGGAATACTTTTCTGCAAAATCATAAAATAGCACACTTTTTTCTAAAAACTAGTGTATTACCATTCTTGCCAACCATTTAACATTTTTATCTCGTAAACACAACAAAATTATCATTGACAGCATAAAATAGTGCTGTTTTTTGAAATAACTCGATTCAACTCATAAATAGACAGCCTGATAGATTGAATTTCATCATTTGACGTCATCCCGATCAATTCCAGGGATACATTTGAGATTATAATGGTGTTTTCGTCGTACCCCACTCGGTCATGACTTGCAAATTAGCTGCAAGCTACGAATATATTTTCAGACGTGCGTCACTACTCCGCACTATTTATCAGCTGAAATCGGCTTCGTGGCCTATATTACTGCGGGTTACAACATAATATTGAGTGAGGTCCTGTTGTTATGAGTATCATGATGTGATTATAAATACTTACATTTTTCTACGTAAGCAAATAGCGACAGATTGAGTAATAAACTCATTATTTATTGCCGTGCTTCACGGCTTCGACGTACCTGAACATCATTCATAACTTCGACAGCTGGGCGCTTTTAATGTTAGGCAGATTAGTTCAGAAGGAAGAAAGAAAGGAAGGAACTTCCACGCTGCGCCTAAAGCGCAGCCGGTTCTAAAAACCTGCTATCCTTCGCTTGTATGGAGCGGCGTAAAGTGCACATACCTCTCGGTGGCGGCCTCCTCGCTGAGCCCCACGCAGCCATACTCCAGGGGCGTGAAGACAGTGGTGGCCACGTTGTCATAGTTCATCTGCTGGGACGATCCGGTGAAGATACGGCGAGCTAGCAAGCGGCCGGCTTGGATGGCTACGGGCGTGAGCTCAGACTAAGGCTACATGTATACACGCGTATGTGGAGCGGCGTAAAGTGGACATACCTCTCGGTGGCGGCCTCCTCGCTGAGCCCCACACAGCCATACTCCAGGGGCGTGAAGACAGTAGTGGCCACGTTGTCATAGTCCATCTGCTGCGTCGCTCCGGTGAAGATACGGCGCGCTAGCAAGCGGCCGGCGTGGATGGCCACGGGCGTGAGTTCAGGCCGCGATTCCAACACGTCACCCACTGCGAAGATGTGTGGAACGTTCGTTTGTTCCGTCGGCGCTACGATCTTGCCATTCTCGGATAGCGACTGGAAGCAACAAATAAAAAAAAAAAAATAAAAAAAAAAAAAAAACGTTTATTTGAACCAAAAGTTACATTATGCATGTATTACTATGCAAAAGTTACAAAAAGTGGCATGATAATCGGGGGTCCCATGACTACTAAACTAGGTTACAACCTGTATCTTAGTAGCCAGTGATTCCTCAACTAAGATTTAAATACAATGACTTGGTCCGATTGGTTAGTCTTTTAAAACAAAACCAAAACTTTTAAAACAAAAGAAATTATTGGTAGATGCTGGTTGCTGAGACTTTTTCCGTCTGCTCCGTCTTGCCGTCTTCGAATTCACGCCTATCGAGGTTTAGAGTAGGCGCACACCGTTGATTTTTCGTCGGCCGATAGTTTAGTCGGGCTGCACAGTCTTTTATTTTGCCTTAGAAGCGGACATCCCTGTTTTATTAATTCAATCGTTAGATATTACTATTATGTATACAATTGATGAAGGAACTAGTAGTTGTATTTGTTTAGTTTCGAAGAAATATTCGATTTTGTGATTTTATAAAAAAAACTGTTTTAGAAGCATATTTTCTAAAAAAATTACATTAAGTCAGAATTTTGTAAATAAATTTACCTTTCACTATAACGTCTACCTTTATGTAAAAATAAATGGTTATTGCTGCAGTAATTTAGGAATTATTTAATAATTTATGATTTTCAGAAAACATTTTTTTCTCTGTTGTCCTAGAAAAATGGCAGCTAGACTTACTTTATATTGATGCATGATATAATTATCTATAATACCTGAAAATATTACTTGCCTATCCCGTGGAAGTTCGAAGATATTTTAATTTCTATGAGTTTAGAAGATTTATATGTAAATAGGGTTGTCATCTAAATATTTTTTAGTTTTTTAAATGCCGTCCGTAACAATACGGTTTTAATGCCTTTGTTAGATAACTATTGAAATTCATTGCTTTTACCATTATTAATTTGTCTGGTCGAGTTTGATAATTATAGAGTTGGCCCTGTGGCGGCTTATTGGAAATCCTATCGTTTTCGAAACATCGATATATATGTTGCAGTCAAAACTCATAATCGATCAAAACCACTTTTGACTGCAAATTTCAGTTAATAGTGGTTTTGACCGATGGCCTTAGTCAATATTACTTTTGACAAATTTTTCTAGTCGTATCATCGAACTTCCACGGGATAGGCAAGTAATATTTTCAGGTATTATAGATAATTATATCATGCATCAATATAAAGTAAGTCTAGCTGCCATTTTTCTAGGACAACAGAGAAAAAAATGTTTTCTGAAAATCATAAATTATTAAATAATTCCTAAATTACTGCAGCAATAACCATTTATTTTTACATAAAGGTAGACGTTATAGTGATAGGTAAATTTATTTACAAAATTCTGACTTAATGTAATTTTTTTAGAAAATATGCTTCTAAAACAGTTTTTTTTATAAAATCACAAAATCGAATATTTCTTCGAAACTAAACAAATACAACTACTAGTTCCTTCATCAATTGTATACATAATAGTAATATCTAACGATTGAATTAATAAAACAGGGATGTCCGCTTCTAAGCCAAAATAAAACACTGTGGGCTGTTGATCAGTATGGGCATGTATGGGAGTGCGCACACTACGCCGATTCGATTTGGTCGATTCTTCATACGATTTGAAATCGGGCACAACTATCGGCCAACTAAAAATCAACGGTGTGCGCCTACTCTTATGATACTGAAATCGTCATTTCTTTCTTAGATAATACCAAGTCTGTACATGTTCCACGTCATCTAAATATGGGATATGCATCAATAATACTCATTTCAACTTTGAATATAACAAGTAACTTGAACTTGTATTATTATTATTTAAAGAACTGGTCCTGATGAAATATTTTGATTTGATATGGAACAGACTGATCAGTTTAAAGTGATTCTGTCCACATTATCAATTGCGATAAAATTAGCATTATTTTAGTGATACCGATATCAGTCAAAAGTAATTACAACTCACATTAACACCAGCAGCTTCCAAGTTCAGCGCCTTAGTGAGCATGTACCGGCCGGTTGCAATCAGCACTGTGTCGAACACGTCTTCGAATCTGAAATTAAATTTTAAAATAAAATATTATTTCACAGAATTGTCTACTGAAATTCAATTAAACTCTACAATGATAAGATCTACGAGGAAGAAGGTAACAAGGAAGGCAAAAACAACAATGGAATAATTTAAACCGCAAAATTCCCAACTGTGACAAAATGAAGCACGACAATGGAACACCTACACATTGATATTGCACCAAATATGCACGCGAGTCAATAGTAGATTAACTTTTTCCTATGACAAACTGGATATCACAGGCTGGGTTTTATTTGGGGTTAAGCTGTAGATCCTGGCTACAAAGAAGTTACAACGGTAGAAACGAGAAGTAAGAACAGTAGAGGTAGAATCGTCTGAGCTTACTGCACGTTGGTCTCGGTATTGAGCCAGCGCGCATCGGTTATGGAAACTCACACCGATGATCGAGCTCTTGCATCTCTTTGGCGACCATGCGTGCCATCTGGTGGTCGAAACTACCAGCAGCAGTGGCGTAACAACGTAACATGGTGGCAGGGCTGGCAAATGCCCAGGAAACCGGGTACCGATTCGAAGATGATAGTTGATGTCAGGAGTCAGATCCCCTTCAATGAATTTGCCACGGGCTTCGGATGGTATAGTCACGCCACTGACCGACCAGCAGTGTTACCGAGTAATGACTTACTGTTCGTTGGTCTCGGTGTTGAGCCAGCGCGCTTTGAGCTGGCCGCTCTCCAGTTTCTCCACGGACTGCGGTACGCATCGGTGCTGGAACTTGACGCCGTGCTCCTCCATCTCGTTGGTGACCATGCGCGCCATCTACTAGTCGAACCCATCAGCAGCGTCGCCGGGTAATGGACTTACTGTTCGTTGGTCTCGGTGTTGAGCCAGCGCGCCTTGAGCTGGCCGCTCTCCAGTTTCTCCACGGACTGCGGTACGCATCGGTGCTGGAACTTGACGCCGTGCTCCTCCATCTCATTGGCGACTAAGCGCGCCACCTACTGGTCGAACCCATCAGCAGCGTCACCGGGTAACTTACTGTTCGTTGGTCTCGGTGTTGAGCCAGCGCGCCTTGAGCTGGCCGCTCTCGAGTTTCTCTACGGACTGCGGCACGCATCGGTGCTGGAACTTGACGCCGCGCTCCTCCATCTCGTTGGTGACCATGCGCTATCTGCCGGTCGAACCTAACAGCAGCGTCACCGGGTAACTTACTGTTCGTTGGTCTCAGTGTTGGTTGAGCCAGCGCGCCTTGAGCTGGCCGCTCTCGAGCTTCTCCACGGACTGCGGCACGCATCGGTGCTGGAACTTGACGCCGCGCTCCTCCATCTCGTTGGTGACCATGCGCTATCTGCCGGTCGAACCTAACAGCAGCGTCACCAGGTAACTTACTGTTCGTTGGTCTCGGTGTTGAGCCAGCGCGCCTTGAGCTGGCCGCTCTCCAGCTTCTCCACGGACTGCGGCACGCATCGGTGCTGGAACTTGACGCCGCGCTCCTCCATCTCATTGGCGACTAAGCGCGCCACCTACTGGTCGAATCTAACAGCAGCATCGCCGGGTAATGGACTTACTGATCGTTGGTCTCAGTGTTGAGCCAGCGCGCCTTGAGCTGGCCGCTCTCCAGCTTCTCAACGGACTGCGGCACGCATCGGTGCTGGAACTTGACGCCGCGCTCCTCCATCTCGTTGGTGACCATGCGTGCCATCTGTTGGTCGAACCCGCGTAACGGCACCGAGCGGACCAGCACCGTCGCCGGATAGCCTAGAGAGTTTAGGAAGCCGGCGCATTCTAGACCGATATCTGGAGACACTTGCTAAGGACATTATTGAACGCTAAGATCAGGCCGAAGGTTTTATATTTGAATTAAAATCGTTCAAACGCACAATGATATCACAAAATCCAATTGAAGCTGGAGTACTACTAAACAAATTAATCGTTTAATGAACCATAAATGTTTACTATGTATGTTTTATACGTATTATACGATAATAACATAAGTATTAATTACCACATATTGCTCTTGACTATCGTACAAATATGTATAGTAATGAAAAATAGATTATTGCTCGTTGTTGCATAACAATAACACTCGAGCTAAAATTAGCGTGGAGGATTGGAGTCCGTCTCTAATGAGGTGTACAAAAACACGAAATTTTGCCATTACTGACTTTACTGATAAGTAAACTATTCGTGGTTCTATTTCGGTTTTAGTGTGGCTTCTCGACTGACGGTGAATTCGTTATTATTTTTTGCTTTTAACAGTCTATCGCTCCCATAAAATAAATAATACAGTAATGTATTGAAAAAAGGATACATCCAGCGCCTACAACGAGCGTCTTCCCCGGCGGATGGCTGAGACTGAAGATGTCGTCGCTGCTGATACAGTATTCCGTCGCCCCCGGGATATCAGGGTAGTGGGGCCGGCCGCCCACCGCTATGACGATATTCCTGGCCGTCAGTTCCTTCTTGGAACCATTCTTCAGAGTAGCTATGATCGTGTGCGGGTCCTTGAACTCTCCCAGGCCATTGATGTACTCGATCTTCTTATCCCTGAGGTCGACCCTGGTCACCCAGTTGACGGATTTGATGTGGTTCTGGACGGACTCTGTGAGCGCCGACCAGTCTATTTTGACAGCGTTCAGCTGTGGCACTTGCCAGCCGTATGCCACCGCTTCCTGGAAACGGTTTACGCGGATGCTTGTAAATTGCATACGTAGAATGCACATAACAGAAATAAAACTCGTTTTGATAAAATGTTTTCATTATTGAGTAAATATTAAGTTGGCTTCTTCTCTGGCTTGGATTATTCTTGATAATGAGCTGAGCATCTTTTTGACGATCAAAGGGATATTAAAGAACTCTTCAAATTCTTATGTAGCTTATTTCTTTGAATGCTGTATTTTCCTGTAAAGGCATATCTTTTAGATTCTACCTTTCTAATAATGTAACGATGCATGTGAAATGATATGTTGTTGGTAAATCTTTAACAATAAATAAATGCGCATTTCGGAACTGTCGTTAAAACTCCCTCCCTATACGGAAAATAGAATAATAAATAATATCTATTTGTAGCCTAGTAGTCAAGTAACATCTCATTAGTGGAAGGAAAACGGAAATCAATACCGTAACATTTTCATTAGCAAAGATACTATTACGAGTATAACAGCTATTAATAAGCGACTAACGCAGTTCACTCTCATTTAATATGCCTGTGACATTTTAGATTACATCTAAATAAGATTTAATTACACACAGATATTACTACTAGTACTGACGATAACAACATAATAAGTCACAATGAGTAAACTGCAGTTTAATAAACAGTTCTCGGTCAGTAACATTTTGTACTCTTTATTATTAAATGGGTTACATAAATGTGTTAATTTATTGAACAATCCCATATCTGACACACTTAAAGCAATTTAAAAAGTAGGTATATTTATGTAATTTGCCGAAATTATGTTAGTCGCAGTTTAGGTGCGTACCTAAATATAACAACTCCGTCACATAGGTACCTACTAATAGGGCAGTTCAGCTATTAGCTTACGATGACAAGCAATTTTAATTTACACATAGCTATTAGTCATTCGATAAGTTATGGATGGGTAACGACAATGGGAAATACTGTCCAGTATGTTATAACGTTTATCTTTTAATATGACATGATTGTGTTTTCTGGCCGCTACCAACCGTGCGATGTGGAAGTCATTGGGGATGTTCAGCAGTGGACGTCCTATGTCTGAAATGATGATGATGATTGTGTTTTGCACTTACACGCCATGCCACCTACATGGTAAAATGAGAATTCTTCTACTTCTGATTCTAAATATTCTAAAGCTCACGCCGCGGCGCCGCTAAGCCGCACTCTATCTACGAGTACACTTTTGACATCAAGTCTTTGTATTCATTAGAAAATTACACGTTAGATCTGGTAAAGGTGCCTGCATGCGGGCGGCGCAGGACCAGTCGTTATGGAAATCCTTGGGGGAGGCCTTTGTCCAGCAGTGGACGTCATTTGGCTGAAACGAACAAACATGTTAGATTCTTTTTGTTCTGTTCCTTCATGCTTATTAACCCTTCATTTGGCAAGACACAAATTGTTTGATTTTTTCAATAAAATCTATTTAGACCTAATTGTTACTATCAAATAAAGTTAAGAAAAATAATAAAAAAAATATTTGGTTGGTATTTTCGCGAAAAACGATTGTTGCTTATTTACCACATTGCCAAATAGGGGTACTTAAATATAACATTGAGATATATTATAGAATTAATTTTTTTATATGAAAATCATAAAAAAAATCAATCGTATTTCACATTATATGCATTAAACTATTTTTTGGCCATTTTCGCAAAGTCGACAACGACCTTTTTCTCCAACATTTGATAGATGACGCATTTCATCATACTTCACGATCAATATGCCGAGCCAAGGTTGGCTTTTTATTTTCTCTTTAGCTTCTGAAACTGGTATGTTACCGTTATCTGCTATAGTTGTTGACTTCAACGCAAGAAAAATGTGTTTATCATTTAAATCAGTTCAGCGGTATAAGCTTGAAGACAGACAACACAGAGACAGACAGCAAATTCTTCCTCTCTCCTAAAATGATGTGCCCGACAACCCTGTATGGACCCCCATAATTGTATCAAAAGTAATTGTATACCATCTCTATAACATTATTCATGTAATACATGATTGATTTATTGGGTATTGACACTTTTTTGTATTAACAAAAAGATAAACCTATTTTGTTAGATGTTTGGCACTGATGCTTCTAGGCAACATCGAGGTTCGGAAGCATGTCATATATTAGAAAACACAGTTTCTACGCCAAATATTGCTTTATATGATTAGTTTGAATTATTATGAATAAAATTTAGACAAAACAAAAACAATTAGAGATGATAAAATAGTATAAAATCATAAAACTTCCGTCTTTGTTATTCTCATTGCGCGTCATCTTGGCGTCTGACAGAAATATTAATATGAAATCACTCAAAACTCAGTCGACGACCGATTTGCTAGTGTTTTGCTGAACTAAGCTTCGTAACAAAATCGAATGATTTGCACAAAACTTATTATTTGGTGCTGTAGAAATATTCAAAGTGGTTGTTGCTTAAAAGCATCACTGCCAAATGAAGCTTATAAGAAAACGATTACACTACAAGAAGCTACGTTTGATTGATACCTAATTTAATGCTAAAATTTATCTCTACACACAATGTTTATCAATAGTTAAATAAATACCAGACAACTGGCATGAAATTGAAATTAGAGGGTTATTGATGTTTGTCTTATCTACATGATTCATATCTTTTCAATCGGTCGTAGTTATTACTTCAGTATTATGCATTGCCAAGGTTTTGCTCGATTAGTTTGATAAATCATTCAGGTAACCACTTTACGTTTGTAGTACAAAGGTCGTAAGATACATTAAACATAATTATAAAGCGTAAATCCTATTATTTACGATTACTTAATTTAAAGTAAAGAATCACGAGTGTGGGATGTATGACCATGTAGGCACACAGACAATACACCACAACTCATAAAGATTTATATACAGAGTAGTAGCAGTACGAACTTCATCTGTCTCAGTTACCACTCTAATGCTGTGGTGCATTAATCCTTTTTCATTTAATACAAGATGTGGAAATACCGTTACTAAACGTAATTAACTAACAATTTAATTCATATTAATCTGTATATCAAAAATTCTAACGAGATGTTAGTAACATAACCAAATTATTCCATAACATAATTTTTGAAATATCCGTTAAAAAGAATATCATATCATATCATAATATCTTTATTGAATCAGCGGGGCTTTTACGGTTTCCGTATTTTCAGAGAAAGACGGATGAATCTGAGAATACGGCAACAGAAAGGGTAACGAAGAGGCCCTGGGAATACGAATCACATGTGGATTGGTAACTATAAGTGAAAATGAAAAAACTAGCTTCGGTTTGGTCATTTCTGAAAGAGCACAAAGTGACCGTACCGTACCTATATCACCTCATCACAGATATAAATAAAACCTTACCTATAACTAAAAACAAGCAATTAAGTATAATTTATCGATCCTCAACAGTCGTCACCGTTGCTGCACGCCCGAACGACCTTGTTTGAGCAAATTTGAGGTCGTAACGTAAGTTAGTCGTAGTATCGCTACCTGTGACTAGTTTTGCAAAACGATTTAAAAATCATACTAAAATTATAAATACGAAAGTAACTCTGTCTGTCTCGCTTTCACGCCTAAACCACTGAACCGATTTTGATGAGGATGAGCGCGACAAAATTTTTCTGTGACAGACAAAATTCCACGCGGGCGAAGCCGCGGGCGGAAAGCTAGTTGTTAAATAAATAAAATAAAACTTCCTTTTATGAGGATGAGCGCGACAAAATTTTCCGTGACAGACAAAATTCCATGCGGGCGAAGCCGCGGGTGGAAAGCTAGTTGTTAAATAAATAAAATAAAACCTTCCATTCTATCTCTTAGTCCCTCTTTCACTTATTCTGATAATGTTAAACTTGCTTCAAGCAGTAGAATCTTAATAATATTCGCGAAAAATTTTCCGAATACCATTTCATACGAGTACGATTTCTTATGCGAATTTGAAATTAAATGGTTCAAAACTACATTCTCTGGGATACTGGCAAATAGAGAAGTGGTTAAAGGCAAATAGTATTATGTGAAATCGAATCTCAAGATCATCGCGCAATTTGGGGATTAACACTTTTTTCGTTGATCTAAGGCTAAAAACTCACGGCGCGATTTTCACCCATGCCCGCGGCGGTTGTGGAATTGCGGTTTTATTTAAAATCTCACGGGAGCGGTTATTTGCGCGGTTATTCTAAGAAGTCACTGGTACAAAATGGTCGCCCGCCGATCGGGTGGTTTTCGTGCGGGCGAAAACCGCCGAGCGGGACCCGCATACAACCGCGCCCGCTGCGGGCCCGCAACCGCCGCGGGCGCGGGTGATAATCGCGCCAACAGTTCTTAGCCTTAGCATAAAATAAACCTCCAGTCTAATAAAACAAAAGCAAAACTGCTTTAAAGTTACATTGATGATAGTCCAATCAACGAGGAGATTCGTTGTATGGAGACATCCGAATAATTCGTCCGTCAATGAAACTTGGCACATGGTGAAAGTAGGTAATATAGATCAGAGATATGCAAAAATCCAACAAAATTTTTTTTGGGAAGTTATGTTTTTTGACCTAAACATGAAAATCGTTAATAACTCTCTGTGTAAAAATTCTCAGCCTGAAATTCTTTCTGTATACGTACCTATGTACTACTTAGAATATGTATGTAAAAGAATCCAACACTTTTTCGATTTCAGAGATACCTGAAATTTAACTTTTAACATTTTGCACTATAACTTCTACTGAAAAATTGCTCTGCCTATTTTTATTTTTTAATACGCTTTTATATNTCCCTTTTGTACCCTTTGCACCACCGGCCTGCACCACTGGTGGTGCAAAGGGTATTTTTTAATCCCTTTTGCACCACCAATAGTGCCGCCCTACTATTAACTGTAAAACGATTATCTATAATCATATAATATTAATATTATAAAGAGGAAAGATTTGATTGTTTGTTTGTACTGAATAGGCTCCGAAACTACTGGACAGATTTGACAACATAACATAAAAATTAATAACAACCATTCATACCTACATACAACGAATAATTCCTAAAGTACCAGGGCAACATAATCA